GCAGAAGAGGAAACCCTGGCCTGAGGAGATAAATTGACCGGTCCCAAAGTTACTTTTATGGCAAATGGTTGATTTCCTATCCTCTAAACTCAGAATCTGAGAGGTTAACAACCAACTTTCATGTACAGAACAGAAAAATAAGAAGTAGACATGCCAGAAGGCACAGGTAGGTAATTATTAAGTCAGAATTTCTCATCTATAAAGCAGAAATAGTATTTCTCAAAGAGGAATAAACATATCAAAGGGTTGTTAACATAATTAAATAGAATTACTTAAATAAAAATACTTGAAGAAATGCCTGTTCATAGAAGTTGCTCAATTAATGTTCCTTACCTTAATTATAGACAATTGGTGCCAGGGTTATAAATCTAACATCTAATTTACCCTGGCAAAGTAAACTTTATGTGTATTTACTAAGTAAGAAATACTACTTTCCTGTTTTGTGCCCACTGAGCACCAAAATTCAAATAGTATTCAGGAAAGTATCTAAATATGGTAAATTTATAATAATTATGAGTTCTTTACCTTGGAATTTGATGAAAAGGAATAAATGATTTATTGAAAATAAATGGACCTACAGCATGGGAGTTTTGAAAACAGTTCATAACATAAAAAACACTAATGTATAGTGATCTGAATATTCTGATATCAGCTTTTAATTGTTTTTTACTAAAGAGTAGGTAATACATTTAGTCAATGCATTTCGCTAAAATGGTTATAAGCAGAACAAGAAGAAGATGAAGGGAAGATTTTCAGACTCACTAAGGGAAAGCATTCCAGGCAGTGCAACAGCCTTGAAGTGGGAGCATGACTGTTAGATAGAAAACAGACTGTGCCCAATGCATAAAAAGGAGAAAGGCATACAAGGTCAGGGACACAGAAGGATTCTAAAACATGAAGGGCCTTGTAGGTCAAAAAGAACTTAAATTTTTACTCTGAGTGCAATAGGCAGAGGAGTGACATGATTTTAGGTTTTATGGAAATTATCCTGACTCCTATGCTGAAAATAAGCTATGGAGAGTATGGGGCAAAGGGTACAAGCAGACAGCTCAGTTAGAAAACTATTACAGCAGTTCAGACAATAGAATCTCACACACACACAATGAAAATGCTTCCAAAAATAACAGTGGAGCAGAAAAAATAAAGAATAAAGGAGAGTGTAAATATGTGAGCAAATCTAAAAGAATATTGACCTTATAAAACAACAGTAATAGAGGGGTTTAAATAAATTGAGAAATAAAATGTATGGCAGTAACATCATAAAAGGTAAGAGAGATTCTAAAGTCCTAGCGTTGTTGGTAGGTTATAAAAGTATTAGGATGTTAGACTTTGAGTCAAGAAGAAGTGCTGTTTTGGGTGGTCAGTAAACAAAGAGTAAAGTGATATGTAATTAATAACCTAATAGAGGAGAAAAGTAAAATAAATATTATTAACTCAAAGAAACCTAGAAAAAGTCTATGAAATATAGAAAACAAATAAGATAGCAAATTCATACCAAATACATTAGTAATTATCCTAGTCTACACATTCTGAATGAAAAACAAATAATTCAGTTAGAAGACTTTATTAGTCTGCTAAGGCTGCCATGACAAAGCACCACAGACTAGGTGGTTTATACAACACAAATTTATTTCTCAAAGTTCTGGCAGTTAGAACTCCAAGATCAAGACACAAGCTATGAAGCGAGGCTTAGACTTAGACTTCCTCTAAGGCCTCTGTCCACAGCTGGTAGACAGTTACCTTCTATGTCTTCACATGGTCTTCCCTTTGTCTGTGCCCAAATTTTCTCTTATTATAGGCGCACAAGTCATATTGGATTACGGCCCAGCCTAATAACCTCATTTTGACTTAATTACCTTTTTAAAGACCCTATCTCCAAATACAATCACCTTTTGAGGTACTGGGGGTTAAAGCTTCAACATGAATTTTTGTAAGAACAATTCAGCCCATTACAAAGACAAACGCCAAAAAAGCTCTCAGCTTTGTTTATGAGGTTTACACCTTTAATATAAGGATGTAGAAAGATCAAAAATGATATACTATGCAAATACTAACCACAAACAAACAACAAAAAATGCTGGCCTAGATATACTTGCATCAAAGAAGAATCCAAAGCAAAAATCATTATGAAAAACAAATAAAAATGTTTCATAATGATGAAGTCATCAGTCAGCCAGAAAATTATCACATAGTTCTAATTATATTAAAATTTGAAAGCATTAAGAAAAAATAATAGACAAAACCATAATCATAAAGGAAAATGATAACATGCTTTTTATCAGTAACTGACAGAATAAGCAGACAAAAAAACCGATAAGAATATAAATCAGTTTTGACCTAACCTATATTAAACCTTTAAATACTCAAAGACTACATTACACAATCTTTTCAAGAAATCACATAAGAAAATTGGAAAGAAAAAGTAAGTGTCAATAGATTTCCAAGAGTTAACTAAAAAAGTTGTGTTCTCTGGCTATGTTAGAATTAAGCTCAAACTCAGTATAAGTAGCTAGAAAGTAGCCAATGGTTTATAATTTAAAATGTATATCTAAATACATATGGATAAAAAGGGGAAATTTTAAAACTGAATCAAAACCTGTGGATGCAGCTAAGTCTGTGCTCAGAGGAATTTTTCTAGACTTAAATATGTATATCAGTAAAGAAGAAAGGCTTAAATGGAATGTTCTATGTATTTGTCTCAAAAATTGAAAGTATAGCAACAAATTTAGTTCAAAGAAAATGGAAGGAAATAAGAAGTAAAGTTAATGAATTATTAATAGACATGCAATAGAAATAATCAAAGTAAAAATTTGATTATTTGAAAAGACTCATAACAGTGATACACTACTGGTGAAACTAATAAAGAAAAGAGAAGTAGAACAAAGTAACCTGATACAGATGCTTCAGTTTTAAAAAATCACAAGTTATTATGGACAACTTCACATTAATATATTTTATATGTTAAATAAGATAGATAAAGTCCTCAGTTAGCCTTATTTTATGTTTTTGTTTGTTTGTTTGTTTGAGGTGGAGTTTTGCTCTTGTTGCCCAGGCCGGAGTGCAATGGCACTGCCTCAGCTCACTGGAATCTCTGCCTCCTGAGTTCAAGCAATTCTCCTGCCTCAGCCTCCCAAGTAGCTGGGATTACAGGTGCCCACCAGCACACCCAGCTAATTTTTGTATTTTTAATAGAGATGGGGTTTTGCCGTGTTGGTCAGGCTGGTCTTGAACTCCTGACCTCAGGTGATCCACCCGCCTCGGCCTCCCAAAGTGCTGGGATTACAATATTTTAATGCACTAACAATGACACTGCTTTTAGACTGGATAATTTATCAGCTGTACCAATTGGAAAAATCAAATATGGGAATACAGAAGATTTTCATTTTTCTTCTCTTCTGGTTTCTTTTCCTAGACTTGTCACGTTTTCAATGATTGTTATGTCCTCTTTGCCTGCTGGGAGATGTTCATTTATTTGATAATGTGTTTTTGTTACCAAGTTTTGGATTTTGCTTTAATTAACATCTACTTAATAAATATTTGTTTATTACCTTTATGTGTCAAATGGTGTGCTAGAAGCTATAGCGCCTATTACAAACAAGATATAATCCTGTTGGGCTCTCAAATTGTAACTGGAGTGAAAGCAAATGGAGAAAGAGAGGCATATGTAAATATGCTGTTGGGAGGACTTGAGAAGATTGCTCCAAAAAAAAAAAATCAGGGAAGAATACATGATGCTTGACATAAGTTCTAGACGAAAAATTAGAACAATATAAAAAATATGTTGAGAACAGAACTTTGGATCCAGGAGTGAGAGCAAATCTGAAGGTCTGAAGACATATGTGCATGCAGATAAAGTTTAATATCTTACAACTCTCCTCCTCTCTGCTATGCTTATTAAATATTGGATTTTGCTTTACTGTTGAGCTAGGAATGGGTTTCGACTATTTACTGGTCCTTGTAGCTGGTTGGCTTCCTCCAGCCTGTGTTCTCTTTGACATCTGTGATTTTTTTTTTTTTATTATTATTTGTGGCATATGGTGGAGAAGGAAACAGATTTACACTTTTGTCTTTGGCAGAAAAAGTCATTTTCTTTTTTGATTTTAAACTGAAAATATTATGCAATGGTGACTCCTATTTAAATATAATATTAAAATGTCCCTTTTATCATCCTTGACCCTACACTTTCATGCCACTCAGCTTTACTTAACAGTGACTATCACTTGAGGTGCACAAGAAGAATTCAGACTTTTCATCTTTTTCTCCAGAGAAATTTCTTAGCTCACAGCTTTATACATTCATTCAGTGAAGCATCTATTGACTTTCTTTTACGTGACAAACAGGACATCACAAATGTGAGTAAAACAGCCTTTTACCTCGAAGAACTGCATCCGTGGTCTTGCGATCCTCACACTGTCTTCTCTACCTTCAGGAATTAGTTGTATCTAGAAGAAGTTCCCAGGCAATTTAGCTAATGTATAAAGTCAAGGTGGTTTTAGAGTATTTGCAATGTACAGAAAGGCTGTCAAGTTTTATAGAAACTATTAAAGAAGCAAAACTCACAGGTTTGATGCCTTGACACTGCTACTGTTAGGAAGTCTAAAGACTGAAAATGAAATTCTGTCATTGCACTTATTACGATATTAATGTCTTTACCCATGTTGACAAGTGGGCAGAACACATTTATGTTATGCAGCCCTTTTCTGTAATGTAATTGATCTTTCAAAATTTACTACATTGGCCTTGGGTTGCTATTCAGAAAAATTACCCTAAAACTTACATTCTCCTGCCAAATGTAAGACCTTCCAGGTAACCTAATGATATCATAGAGATTGACAGTACTATTGCGCACATATGAAAGAGTATGAATGAAAGAAAAATCTGCCTGGTTTCCTCATATCATCTTTTACAGGAAATATGGAGTCTCACAGACTTTTCATTATGGGAAACCTATCTGTCATTTCTTGTCATCCTATGATAGAGTAATTCAGTCTGTAATCAAATAAGCCTGGAAGTCATTTTTATTTATGTTCCAAATGGTAAAATATGGCTGTCTTAGGGCAGAGAAGAATGAAAAATCACAAACTTCAGCTGGTGATCTTTAAGAACTCTATTCTTGCATGTATCCAATCTTTCATCCTAAGTCTTATTTTCAGAGTCTTGACTACCAGGAGACAATTCTTCTGCCTTCTTCCTACTAAGTCAGCTGTGTCCTTCTTCAAATTAGCCCTATTTGGTGAGGGTCCTTACGTCCCTCTGTAAATGCCTCTAAGAAAAACTATCGCACAGTCAAAAAAGAACCCAAGACATACAGGAAAATAAAATCACATGATTTTTCAGAACCACCCTTTGTTTTTTCATCATATTTATCACTGACTTTTAGCTAAAATCTCAAAGAAAAATGAAAATTCCAATGTGATAATTAAAAATACCAATATATTTATTATTAAATTTCCTTTTCGATAGTGTTAGCAGCCTGCAACCACTTGGGAAAAAAAAAAAGTGTTTTGGCCAAAATTCATGCCATCCAAAGAAAGAAAGATAACTAAAAGTAAACAGGGTGAGATGAGGAACAATATTACCTTGTGAAAACAGCAGTCTGTTTCATTTCTTATGACCTGTAATGCAAAAAAAAGTAAACATTTGTCAAGTTTATAAAGAAATAAAATAGAAAGTTATTTCAGATAAGCCCAAAGATTTTCCCAAACAATAGATTCTATAATATTTTCAAACACTGAAATATTTATTTAAATATTTTATCATTTTACTCTTACTGAATGCTAAATCAGTAAGATTTTCTCTTCTTATGCATATCATCAGAAAATAGAACAGCACAATGGTTCATTTGGCTCTGCATAAGCATCTCCTTCTAGAGAAAAATGAAATCTTCTTCCTTAGATTACAGGAACAAGTATAAACGAGAATTAAAGGGGAAGCAAAGGTAATCAACAAAAAAGCAACAGGCCGATTTTTATCTGAGCTAGTAAAGTTTGACAGCTTCTAGAATCCAACCACGTGCCACTATATATAGCATATGTTCAAGTCTGAACAAGAGCCAGAAACTGGAAACAGAGATGCCCGCAAAAAATGTATGTGTGGAAAGTCTGAGGTTTACAGAGGTGCATAGGGTGTTCTATCAGCCTGATTTTCAGAAAAGCTGGTGAATCCGTCACTGGTTTCCTCTTATCATGGCTGCACGCTAAAAATGGAGGCGATTAATATGCTAAGTAGGAAAAGCTTGGCTGTCAGTTGCCTGCATTCAGCTGCCAGAACCTTGAAATTAGGTCATGGCCGCCAGGGAAAATTCCTTCTCAGATGGCAGGCTGCGTAAACATGTTAACAGACCTAGACAGGAGGAAACATCTCCCAAAGTACCCAAAGTGATGGGAATGATATGCACTATAAAATTACATCAACTTGTGATTCCAAGACCTTTCGATATGGAACCAAGAAACACAGTTGTAAACTTCGCACCTCTGTTTTCATTCTGCCCTTGAAAAGAACAGAAAGAAACAAATCTCTTTTCCAATTTTTCCAACTATTTCCTCAATAGCTTGAATATTTAGCATTGTAAGTATTGGATTTCTCTCAATGAGCACAATTCCTAATAGTTTTAAAATGTTAGGACTCTATCTTCATGTAAGTCATGGCAATCCTGAAAGGTGTGTGTCTGTGTGTGTGTAGATATATGTGTGTATGTGTATGCATACCCACATTTATATGCATCTTTATATAAGGGATGGCATTCCTGAAAGGTGTGTTTGTAGGAGTGTGTGTGTGTGTGTGTGTAGGGGTGTGTGTATGTGTGTGTATATATATATATATATGCAAGAAATTGCTGTTGAAGTCACAAATATTCATGAGGAATCATTTATAATACCTGTGCTTTACCATCTTCAAAATAATGAATTATATTTTCAAGTAGTCTAGCTGAAATATTGTTAGGATGTTTTGCTAAAATGCCATAGACTTTGGTGATTAAATAAAACCCTTTATTCCTAAGTTAATAATATTGGAAAAACTTGAGGCTAAAAGATGCTTTTATTTACAAAAAGGGAATCAGTGTATAATAGTAGAAAGACCATCAGTAAAACGTTCAAGAACAAGAGTGTAAGTTCTGCCTTTTTTATTCATTTGCTTTTTAACCGTAGGCCTCACTTTATTTATCTGTAAAAAAATTAGTTAGAAATAGTTAAAAATAGATTATTTCTATATCTACTTATACCAATAAGCCCTCAAGATTATTTTATTTGAATAACAAACACTAATGAGAAAAGAAATTGAAGCTCCTAGTATTTGCATACACTATTAATTCACAAAGGGTTACATGTCATCACTTATGTTGTGTACTAAGGTAGTAACAACTGCAATGACAGTTGAATATAGGCTTGCAAAATATAGAAGGCATCAAGAGATCAAATTGGGCTTTAGATTTCAACACCCTTTCTTTAGCAGAAATAATTTATTGTCCATGTTTCCCGCCCGTAACAGTAGAGCCACCTTTTGCAGGGGGAAAAAAATTGTCCCTTTAGTTAAGTATCTCTGCATCCATTAGAGGTGAGTTGTTGAATACATAGGTATTTACAATGATTAAGTCTACAAATTGTAAATGTGAAAATTCTCATGGTGAACATGTGGAAGCATAAAATTCCAGTTCAGATTCTTAAGTGACTACAGTTTCATAATTTGACATGTTTTAGTTTGAGAAGTCCAGGGTTTGCAGGACTGTAGCACCAACCTAAATCCAATCAATCCAAACGCCAACCCACTATGCAGTTTTATTGAAGTAACAGCAGAGCAGCTCTCAATTCTCCAAAGAAGGCTTGAGAGTGTTTAGGGTCAGTTATATATAGTTAAAAAAAAAAAACCCTTAATATTCAGTATTACTTATTGGGCAACAGTAACTCAGAAAAGGGTGACTTGGTTACCTGTGAAATAACTGCTCTCTATATACAGGCTGAGGTCTGAAATCTGAGACTGTTTCTCAGACTGGAAAGAATTCCCAAACTCCCCTAAATGAACTTTTCATTTTATAATTCTTAAGATTTTTCCCTTAACAAAATTTCTAGTGGTGGATAGGAGGCAGGACTAGCTTGCAGCTCTGGCTTGGACAGACAAAGCAACGTGTAGTGACTCACATCGTGAATTTTTGCTCCAAGAACTTCCACAGGAAGATACCAGGAAAGCTAAGATAATCCACAAGCCATTTGAAGGAACTGGGTTGCTGCTGTAGTCTCCCTGAGATGCTGAAAAACTGTGCATCCGTTTGCTTTCGCAGTGGAGAGGCTGGTGGTCTGGGGCTAGTTCTCAGCCCTGATCTCTGGCTGCCTGGTAATAGAGTCAGTGCTCTTTGCGGGGCACGGTGGGAGTGAGACTGGCTTTTAGAATTGTGGGCTGTGTGGGAGTGGGGTGAGGCCTGTGCCTGGCAGCTTTCCCCCACTTCCCTGGTGACCTGTATGACTCAGCAGAGGCAGCCATAATCCCTCTGGGAACATAACTCCATTGGCCTGGGAACCACACCCCCATTCCCCATAGCAGCCATCACAAGCCCCTTCCAAGGAGAGTCTGAGCTCAAACAAGCCTATCCCTGCCCCAACCTGGTTGTTTTTCTCGACCAGTCCTGGTTACCAAAGACAAAGGACATATCTCTCGGGAACTCTATGGCCCTGCCCACTGCCTGAGAAACATGAATACTTAACCAGGTGACCCTAGGACAAGTTTGCAACCTCCCTAGAGGTACTCCCTAGAGTACCACATCTGATACACTCTTGAAAGTACTACATCCTGGTTGGAGGTCCACTAACACAAAACCAGCACACTGAACAAAAATACAACCAAGGACCCCCACAGAGTCCATTTCACTCCCCTGCTACCTCCACCATAGCAGGTACTGGTATCCATGGCTGAAAGAACTGAAGATGAAGCATATCACAGGACTCCTTGCAGACACTCCCCAGTACAAGCACAGAGCCATGTAGCTTCACTGAGTGGCTAGACCCAGAAGAGCAAAAACAATCACTGCAGTTTGGCTCTCAGGAAACCCCATTCCTAGGGGAAGGGCGAGAACACCACATCAAGGGAGCACCTGTAGGACAAAAGAATCTGAGCAGGAGCCATTGAGTCCAAGATCTTTTCTCTGACATAGTCTACCCAAATGAGAAGAAACCAGAAAAAGAATTCTGGTAATATTACAAAACAAGGTTCTTTAACACCCCCAAAGATCACACCAGCTCACCAGCAATGGATCCAAACCCAGATGAAATCTCTGAATTGCCAGAAAAAGAATTCAGAAGATTGATTATTAAGCTAATCAAGGAGGCACAAGAGAAGAGTGAACTCCAACTTCAGAAATAAACAAAACAAAACAAAACAAAAAACCATGATTCAGGATAAAAAAGAAAAAATCTTCAGTGAAACAGATAGCATAAATAGAAAACAATCACAACTTCTGGAAATTAAAGACACATTTAGAGATGTCCAGTGCAAAATGCACTGGAAAGTCTCAACAATAGAATCAAACAAACAGAACAAGCAAAATCAGAGCTTGAAAAAAAGGCTTTCTAATTAACCCAATCTGTCAAAAAAAAAAAAAAAAAAAAAAAATTTTTAAATGGACAAAGTCTCCAAGAAGTTTGTGACTATGTTAAGTGTCCAAACCTAAGAAAAATTGGTATTTCTGAGGAAGAAGAGAAATCTAAAAGCTTGGAAAATATATTTGAGGGAATAATTAAGGAACACTTTCCCAGCCTTGCTAGAGATCTAGACCTTCAAATACAAGAAACTCAAAGAACACCTGGGAAATTCATCACAAAAAGATCATTGCCTAGGTAAATGGTCATCAGGTTATCTAAAGTCTAGATGAATGAAATAATCTTAAAAGCCATGATGTAAAAGCATCAGGTAGCCTATAAAGGAAAATCTATCAAAGTAACAGTAGATTTCTCAGCATAAACCCTACAGCTAGAAGGGATTGGGGTCCTATTTTTAGCCTCCTTAAAGGAAGCAATTATTATCAGCCAAGAATTTTGTATCCAGCAAAACTAAGCTTCATAAATGAAGGAAAGATACAGTCTTTTCCAGACAAATAAATGCTAAGAGAATTCACCACTACCAAGCCAACACTACAAGAACTGCTAAAAGGAGCTCCAAGTCTTAAAACAAATCCTTGAAATACACCAAAATAGAACCTGCTCAAAGCATAGATCTCACAGGACCTATGTAACAATAATACAATGAAAAGAAAAAAACACAAACAAGGTATTCAGGCAACAAATAGCACGATGAATAGAATAGTACCTCATATCTCAGTACTAACATTGAATGTGAATGGCCTAAATGTTCCACTTAAAAGTTACAGAATGGCAGAATGATAAGAATTCACCAACTAAGTGTTTGCTCTTTAGGAGACTCACTTAACACATAAGGACTCACATAAACTTAAGGTAAAGGGGTGGAAAAAAATATTCCATGCAAATAGACACCAAAAGTGAGCAGAAATAGCTACTCTTACATCAGACAAAATATACTTTAAAGCACCAGCAGTTAAAAAAAGACAAAGAGGGTCATTATATAATAATGAAAGGACTAGTCCAACAGGAAAATATCACATTCCTAAATG